TATTTCAATATTAAGTCGTTACCAGTCATGTGCTACTGAAGAATTATGGATTGCTATCAAAAGGGTCTTACGATATCTTAAAGGAACTATAGATTTAGGTTTAGTTTTTGTTAAAAATGATAATGAAGCTATTATTGAAGGTTACGTAGATTCGGACTGAGCAGGAGATTTACAAGATAGAAAATCGACAACTGGATATGTTTTTAAAATCTTTAATTGTATTGTGTCTTGGATCTCTAAAAAGCAACAATGTGTAGTCTTGTCATCTACTGAAGCAGAGTACATTGCACTTAGTCAGGCATGTACTGAGGCTGCGTGGTTAACTAAACTGTTAAATGATACATTGCTGTTCGAAAAGGTACCTAGTGTTATTTTGTATGAAGATAATCAAGGGTCAATAAAAATCGCTGAATGCCTTGACTCAAAGCGTTTAAAGCATATAGATATCAAGCATAATTTTGTTCGAGATCAAGTAGCTAAAAAGGCTGTTATTTTGAAATATGTTAATACGAAAGAACAATTAGCAGATATTCTTACAAAATCTCTTGATAAAACTTTGTTTGAAAAATTTCGAAAATTGTTAGGATTACAAAATTTTGAATAGTTGTTTTTGAACGAGGTGTCGGTTATTATAGGTATATATTAGTTCATTTTATTGTCTATTAGAAAGAAATGTTTATTTTGTTAATTTAATGTTTAGAGGCTATAAGGTTTTCTTAAGAGGGGGTGTTGAAGGTTGTAATAAAACCTTATTACGATTATAAATGTTTTGTCTATTATAACTAAATTAAAATCTATGTCATTGTGAGTTTAATAAAAGGAACCTATGGACTAAAATAAAAATATCTTTTATGTGTTAAAATACTTCTCGGTAGTTTCATCGTCCACGTCCAAATCGTTGTCAAGGACGCTAAAGCGGTTCTGAAGCTCGAGTTAAAAACTTTCGGGGTTTTGGATCAATGCAGGTATTGGTCGAAGCGTAGATTTCATCAATCGAGATCTTTCCAACTTGATATTGATATTCAATGTGCCTCGTACGAGCCGATGATCGCTCCCCGTTTTAACGGCATTGATCACAGAGACATCATTGAATATTTGCTTTTTAGTTGACATAATGAAATCAATCTCGTTTTTGATTTTACCGTCCGGACTCATCCAGGTCCATTTCCGATTTAATGGCTTCCTGAAGAAGGAGTTCATCATGTAGAGATTCTCCTTTTCCATGAAATCAGCTAGCATCTGGTCTCTGGAGTTCCGGCACCCAAATCCAAATTGCCCCATTCTCAACTCATCACCGCAACGTTTTCCTATCTTAGCGTTAGAGTCCCCCATCACAACCGTGTAGTGGGTATTGTAACTATGCATGGCTTTTGAGATCTCCTCATACATAGCCTCCACTTCGACATCTGGGTGCGTCGATGTCGGAGCATAAACCTGTATGACATTCAACGATCATCGATTTGATATTCTGAGTATGCTACCCTGGTCGACACACTTCCAATGGTAATGACGTTGTTAACAAGGGACTTGTGGACTTTAACCCCGACACCGCCTAGGGACTGTTGATCACCCTCTCGGTAGTATGGCAAGTTACCGGAATCAAAGATTATCGAGTCCTCCCCCTCTCTTCGGACTTCAGATAATCCGACAATGCCCCAGCGTAACTTACTGATACGTTCTTCCAACTCCGTTAGTTTCGCGTCTGTCCTCAATATTCGCGTATTATAGGTTGCCAGGTGAAGTCGTCGTAGATGGTAGCCGGATCTTACCCGGGGATTCTTCGCACCCCTTGCCCTACTGTTACCTAGTCGCTACCGTAACTAGAGATAGTAGGGCTGCCGGGGACTAGGGGCCGATTTATTTTTAGTTTATCCATAGGGGGAATTGCCATAATCGCCACGCTTGGCAGGCGGGTTGGTGATCGCAGTGGGCCATAGTTCTTAGGAAACGCTGCTGCCCATATCCTAATGGCTGTGTTCCCTTAGTCGCCTTTTACGACACCCACGGGATGAGAGGGGGTGGTGCAATTCTTGGCCAGCACACACACGTTCGTTGTAAACAAACAATCAAAGCTTTCCTATTTTAATATTATTTATATATAGATATATTTTAAGTGAAATAAAAAGTATTTATTATTTTAATCTTTATTGAAATAAATAATTTAATATCTAATTTACATATTATTTTAAAATTAAAGAGTATTTAGACTACATAAGTATGATAATAACATCTAAAAACAAATGTCATTGTTTTGTTTTTAAATTTGAACATTTAAATGTTATAAATAAACAAAAGAGCATGTGATAATAATAACGGATGCTGAAACAGGGTATAACGAAATTTTGACATAAATTGTAGATATTATTAGAATGGCATAACGTTTTATATTAATAATTATTCAGAAACTAAAAGGATATTATTTTTAATATCTATTATCGTCTAAAGACTACTAGGACTGCATGGACATTATAAGAACAAATAGCAACATGTTAGCCCGATATTTACTTCTGTCCACCGGATTTCATCCAAATTCATTTAGACACCTCACAAACAAACTTTTAATAAGAATAAATCCATATATCATCAAAGCACATATATCATCTTATAAGCACACTAAAATACACAAGCATACATTCCAACAGCAAAAAATAACTATTTATTTTATTCTTAATATAATATGGAAGCACAATTGTTTTGGCACACTTAATAGACTATTTTTAATGATTATTGTTTATAAGACATGCAAATAAAATTATTAATTTTGTGAATCACGAAAATTATAAATATCCTCTATATTTGAATCGCATTTTTGTGGCGATACGATTCATAATATATTTTTTCAACAAAGTTTAATATAGGTAATAGACGAAATATAAATACTTTTTAAAATATGCGAAGATAAATAATAAAATTATATTTTGAATATTATTTTTCTAATAATTTTCCACGACATCATACTACTTTTCTATTTCTTATAATAAATGAGTAAATATGGTCACTTAATATTATTTCTTTAGCCCGATAAACACATCTAAATGCATACACATTAGTAATATATTTATTTAATTTATTACGAATGTTCACTTAATTATTACATATATTATTTTAATCATAATTATACAAATTAACTCCATAAATACACATTCATGCCCTAAGTTTTATCTAAATATGAACACGAAGATTACGCACGTATAATACTTATTCAGTTTTTATATAATTATTCGAGTCCAAAACGAGTATTATTTATTTATTAGTGTAAGATGGGTAAATATATCAAAATGTCAATAATTTTACAAAGAGATAATAAGACATCTATTTTAGTGTCTAAAATATGAGACATTAATGGGGTAAATTTTATTGAGTAGGCTAATTAGCATATAATTTACTAAAGGTATATTTTTGAGATTTATTTTGGCAAAATTTGGATATGTTACAAAATCTACAGTATAAGGAAGATTAATAGAGGGTAAATATTTATGTATTTTTTTTTTTTTGTAAACTTTTGGTCTCAATTTAGAACACAGTTTTTGTTACTATGCTTAGAAAAAGCTCTCGTGGACTAATAAAAATCTTTATCTATCCATTGTTTCCTTGAGTAAATAACTCTTTCAAAGAAATATAACACTTCAAATTAAAGCTGACTAACCAAAATTTACTAAAACAACACTCTTATCCATTTCGATGACGATTTAGTTAACATAAATAATTTTAATTGATATTAATATTATTATATATTTTTTCAAAACACCATAAAGATTTAAAACACGCGTCATTAAGCGTTTTAAATATATCATTAAATGCTAATAAATAATAGATTTTTCTTAATTATATTGTCATAGAATAACACCAAACTAAGACATGTAAATCCTTCAAGGACATCTAATATTCGCGCGATATAATTATAGTAATTTACTTAATACTGATAGTGTCATTTTGCTCTACCCATAATTTATATAATCTAAATCATTTATTTAATATTTATTTAAAACTTTCATAAATATTCCTTTGTAATTAGAAACTTTTTTATATAAGATTATGAGAATAATAAAGGCATAATTAATACTGTATTTTGTCCGTTTAAAATCTGATTAATTCTATCTGGAATAAAATAAAATAATTTGGAAATTAAAAGCTTTGAATTATAATGTTATAACAGTACTTAAAATAGCTAAATGGAAGACAATAATAACATATAGTTAACACTATAGTTTATCTCAAACAATCACTTAATTAACATAAGATATTAAATATAGTACCATACTAAAATATAGCGTAAATTATAAATTTACATGAACGCGTCGCGACGCACCCAACAAGTCATCAAATCTTCTCTATAACCTAAAATTTGTATTATATGTATCTCGACAAACATTTCTTTATATATGTTAGATAAAATTAAGACTATTGTGTATATATTTATAATGATATACTGATTTTTAAAATACTTAACAAACGAAGTACATTTTTTTCTAAAATATCAGAAATAATATATTTTATTTAATAATGTTAATCTATAATTCATCTATCTGTACACAAGTTTTACAAGTACAGCTCGCTATTAATATGATTCTTCCTATAAATATTGAACATTAAAGAAATTATAATATTAATAATATAAGTTTATAATATTTTGTGCGTGAGGTTTTAGAACTTTTTTTTTCATATACGTGTAACATTTTCTCATACGAATTGACGTTCTTTCGATATATTATTTTAAATACGAACTTCAAAAATATTTAATTGTAAAATAAACTTTTAGAAAACCATTATTCAATCAAAATTAGATTATTAAAGATTCCTATCTCTTCTAATAAACAATGTGTCAATAATAGAATGTTTTAGTCTCATATTAGATATTTTGGATCATTCATAACAGCAAATCATTATATAAATATTACTTATATCTTGAATACGTCACTGCCTTCAATCAACAGAGGCTTGATCTTCTCATCACCTTGAGATCCATGGGGTGTTAAGTAGGCAAAGGTTATGTAAAGGTATTAGGCCTTATTGTGCTTAGCTAACTCTTCGGCTTGCATTTTGGCACGTAGTGTAGGCACATCTTCAGGAATACGGACGATCTTATTGAATTTCTGTGAATATTATAATAATTATAAAGCGATTCCATTCAACTGATTGAAATAATTTCATGGCATTGCCCTTTCATTAATCAGAGGTATTCAACTATGACGTAAACTACGTAAACTATGTAAACACAGAATTCAATAATACAGCTAGATAACGCACAACAAAAGTTTATGATCAATTGCTTGAATAATAAGCCAATTACTATTGCTATATACGAGTATTAATTCTTAGATCGAGTGCAAATAATTATTATAAATTTGATCAAATAACGAATTATTCGGAAAATGAGGATTTATTTCACTTAAATGACTTGGTATTATTTAGTGACTGTAATTTATAAATAATACTGAAAACTAATTCGTTTAATTTTTCAATATGATAAAGAAACATCTGTAAGATCAATATTACGGCGGCTTTTAAATCCGCTTTAATGTTGTGAGTGTCATAATGTTTATAAAAGAAAATAAGTGGTTGAACAGCATTGTTAAATAAAAATGTCAACTATACAATTGAACGGCTATAATCAATCTCATAATATACTCGTTTCAAGGGCTGGGCAGCCCTTTAAAACTACATGTTTGCACGATAGACTCCAACAGTAAAATTTAATAATCTGAATGACGAAAATGGTCACTTTAAATTTCGCAATAATAAAATAGATAGACTGACCATATAAGTACGTATCGATGTCATAAATAACTTTACCAGCAATAAATATGTTTTATTACAAAAGTTGACACCTACATAGTGCTAAGCAGTATTAGTATTCGATTTTGAAATGACCATTCCTCTAGATATGGTTGTGTTACGTAAGCATGTTAACAATCGTAGTGATATTTTTAATGTAGTATAACCAAATGAAGTATTTCTGTGTATGTAATAAACAGTTGGGTTAGGAATAAAAGGCAGTCCGTTTTCAAGCAAGGCAGGCAGGCATTTGCTGAATTTCATGCCAGTTCTTCTAAGTACAAAATCTCCCACCATAGATTTGCGAACCGATTGTATAGTTTTCGACATTTATGTGTATATAATAGCCTAAACTGAATAAATTATGCGAAGAAGGAACGGGTTATCTTGATCTAAATAAACTAATATGATGAGAAAAGATGATTTGTATGACAATGCAACAAAAAAGATATGAGCATGAATGTGGATGGAAATAGAACGAGGGATATACTGAAAAAAGATGAAAAGATTGTGTAAGAAAGGAGTAGATCGTGAAATGTGAAGACTATGGAAGGAGAATATATTGTGCCGACCCCGCACAATACAATTGAGACAAAGGCAAGCAATGATGAGAGGGACAGACGGATGAGATGGTGGTTTTGTAGTAAGAACTAACCTCCCGCGTGGTGCCGGGCGTGACTCGCCACAGATAGACCATATATCCGGGAATGCAGAGCATGGAGGAAACGGCGGTGAACCAACCGAACGCATGCGCCCACCACGGGTACTCGTAGCTCATGTACTTTATCGGGGTCCACTGCACCAGGTTGAATATGAACACGCTCTAACAAACAAATGTGCATTTATTAATTCAAGATCACTTTAAGTATTAAAAATCTGGCAACATGGAAGGTAGGTACTTCCGGACGGCCCCAAAAATGATTCCATATGTTAAGGCACTTGTAATCATTACCACCCAGCAATCCATGCTGAGTCCTATATGATTCCGCCCATATAAAAGGCCTGTTCCGTAGTGGGGATCTGAATAGGTTTATAACAATGATGACGACTTACAATACAAATTGCTGGTGTGAATCCAACCCAGCAGAACTTCCACCAGATGGTAGGGTAGTAGCCGATCATCTCCTTGATACCATCGTAGAAACGGTTAACACCGAAGGCCCACGAGATAGACACGCACTCGAAGAAGATGAGAAACAGCAAACAGAAACCGGACACGGCATATGAATCCAGGATTTGGAAAACGTACATACCGCCCTGCAAATTCAATATAGCATTTATACATTCATAGTTATTTTCTTAATTCTGGAAAGTGGGTATCTATGCAATCTTTCTAGCAATACCAAATAACATTGCTAACCATGATGATCAATACTGGGTTTAAATATCGAAAATTATTAGAATAATTTAAAATCCCAATTATTTTAAAAAAACTAAATTAACGTTATTCAGTTTTTAAGGGAAGCCATTTTAATTAAAATTTTGTATTTTTTTGACAAATAAAATGATCTGCAAATTATAATTACCCATAATATACTGAATGTGACTGATCCATGGGTAAAGCTAATTTGTAAATCTTATAGATAGATATTATCACAATGTTTTCTAATATTATGCATTTACATATAGATCAAGTCCAAAGCTCATAGTTTATTGAAAAATATATTTTTACTACGAAAACGATTGAAGCAATTCAACCAACCTCAGATATACAAGACAACCCGACCAGATAAGATATAACACAAGTGATGGCTATGAATATCTCCTTCCTCCGTCTGAGGAGTTTTGGCCACTCGTCAATGACAGCGGTGATGAAGCCCTCCATGGTGCAGAACTGGCTGTCGAGGCCGATGAGGAGCAACATGAAGAAAAACAAGCACGACCAAAGCGGGGCGCCGGGCAACTGCAATACAGCTGATGGGTACGCCAGGAAGGCTAAACCGGGTCCTAAAAGAGAATTATTTTAATATATTAACTAGATGTTTTTGCGTGACTTCGCTTGCCTTTGTCATCTGCATATTATGTAGGTTCCAAATTGATGTAGTAGATGAAAGAATTTTTGAAATCAATCCAGTAGTTTTGGAGCCCATTCAATGCAAACAATCAAATCTTATAGCTATTTTTATGATGTTAGTATATTTGTTATACTTTAAATATTTCGTTTTATTTGATAAACATAAATGGATATTTATGTGGCTTGACTATTATTTCATTGAATTTATTAGATTGTTTTAACGTATTAGTTTTTTAAAGTGATTGTTCTTTTTTTACATCAGATTTCAATTTTATTTCCAGATATTTCACAAAAACAATTAAATTATAGTACACTAACCTGAAGCTGCAACCTCAGCTACTGGCCTCTGCTGTTCATGAGCCATGAAGCCAACAACCGAAAATATGACGAACCCGGCGAACATAGAAGTACTGGAGTTGACGGAACACACTATCAAGGCATCCCTGTAATAGAACGGATTCACTACCTCAACATTTAATTTGGGGCCATCACATCACACGAAGATATTAATGAATTATCACAGTTAGACATGTGTGAAACTCTCCCCCCCCCCACCCTCAGAATAATTAACAACACATCAATTTTGTAAAAACTAAGAAACTATTGAATTAAATTGACGATTATTCACGACCAGAGATTTCAGAGATTTTAGACTTTTTGTTAAAGGTGAAACTCACTTGTAAACATTATTAGTGAATTTGTTATAACTGCCAAGAGCAACCAAGGTGCCCAAACCCAGCCCGTAAGAGAAGAAGATTTGGGTGACCGCATCGATCCACACCTCTGATTCCAAGAGCTTGGACATATTTGGCATCACGTAGAATTTAATACCTTCCATCGCTCCAGGCAGTGTGATACCTGTCCATCAAATAACATAAATGGTGTATAACTATATGAATACTTGATCGAATCATGAATATCCTGGATATGTATGTATGAAATGTAGACCCATCATGTTACAGTATGAAAAGGTACATTATTCTGATTTAAACTAACATTACGGAAGAACAACGTTCTCTTTTTTATTTATGTAAAGATAAATTTCAAGGTTCGTAGCTAAAATTAAGCATAACAAACATAAAATTAACTTTATTATCATGATGGTTCGTAAATGAATGTAAGGATATAATAGCCTTTTACTACATGGAACAGTGTTTATTTCTATAAAGTAAGTAAGTCATGGGTAAAATAATTACCTCTGATCAACAGCACGGTAAGCAAGAAGTACGGGAACAGAGCAGTAAAGTATACCACCTTCCCAGTCCACCGTACTCCTTTCCAGATGCAAAAGTAGCATAAGACCCACACCAGCAGTAGCGTGCCAGCGAGCTCCCAACGAATGTTGCCGATGTTTTCTATGCCGCTGGAAATCTGAAGAGCTCGTCGTCTTCGAGAAACAGAAACGGACATGTTTAATCAAGACGAATTGTTGAGATGTTGAGCTGATTAATAAGTATGGTCATACGAATTAATATTAACCGACTCCTACAGCATCAATGCCGCATATCACTCGATATGTGATAAAATATGGTTACAAGCTTCAGATGTTGTATCACTTATGCTGCTGAAATATCAGATTTTATAATTTTGTTTCAGTTAAGTAACAAATTCCAGATTTTTAAATTAAATGACGCCATAAATTCCGGGTCACTTATAAAAATCTTTATATCACCCAATCTACCGAACATAGTGCTTTATACTCGTAATAAGTTTTTGTATAAAGGGACGTGCAGCTATATAGTAAAATGAACTCTTTTTTAATACATTTTAACTTATTTTACTGTTTTTTGAAGTATCAAACACCTCTCATACTTTCTACAGATTATTCGAAGTTTTGCAGATGACCCGGAACTTTTGTTTACTAGTTTATACATGATAAAAGGACAGTATAACAAAAGCTTATCTTTTAAATCAAGTTTATTAGACATATCATGTATTAAATCAACGGCATTGTAAAAAGAATCTATTTATTTTTAGATTTCTGTTTATATCTTTTTAATAGTATAAAGGCGAAAGTTTGGATGTTTGTTACTTTTTCAAGCAAAAACTACTGAACAGATTTTGATGAACTGTGTATACAGATAATTCTAAGGATTAACTTATAGGCTACTATTTATCTAACTAAACGGTTTCCTAGGGACCATGCGGGTTAAGCCGTTGGCGGAAAGTTAGTAGTTTATCAATTAGTAAGATCATACTCCCAGAACTCCTTCACAGGATCGGAGAGGAGGGTCTTGCTGACGTTCTTCCCGTTGAGGGTGCAATAAGTGCTCATATCGATAGGCGAAGACCAGCAAGTGAGGTTTTTCCTGTCATAGGGGTTGACGCAAGTAGCTGTGTTCCAGTAATTGTCGCAGTTACGCCAGGGGACGTCTGAAAATATATACATTTTGTTATAATAAGTTAGCAATGTGACTATATGATTTTTGTTATTCGTTTAATCATTATCACGCAAGTAAGCATTTTCATTTCTATATGTTTTTTTTTTTAATTATTTGGATTATAAAATTATCTGTAATATTTCTTGTAAAACTACCCACGTGTGTACAAAATACATATTGCCAAGTTTCGTTCTCGGTATTTGTATTAATGGCTCTAAGTGTTAACAGCAATTTATTTATTTTTATTTTTTTTTGTTTTTCTTTTGTCTTTTGACTTCGCCAAATCAGCAACTCACCAGCTCTCATCGACATGAAAAAATAGAAAATAGCCCAGGCGAGGATGACGATGTAGTAGACATTCATCCAACAGGACATCACAGCTGCTGCATACCCGATTCCTGGAGAGATCACAATTTATTTATTTACTTAAGATGTTTTGTCCATAAATAAAAACTTCTATCTACAGATTAGTATAAAATAAAGTGGTTTAATGCGGTTTTCACTAAGATAGATAATAATTCAAGAGGAAGGTAAACGTATATTATAGACCCACGTGGTATTATAGACCACGTAGCCGTTAAAAAAAAAATACATTATATTCCTAAATATCGTCGTTTAGCCGTACTATTAAACATTAGAACTTACACGTTTGAATAAGTAATAACTGAAACTCTATAAATACGATCTTTAAATTCTGTCTCGAAAACTTGAAATTGTGAAATATTTTTCTCTACAATATTTACTAAATACAAATAATTATTGCTGGCTCGATCGAGCAATAGTTAACGAATTCGGTCTGCACGCGGAAGTTTAGCAACTTGCACAAAGGCCAATTATAGAATCGGTGACCAAAAATTATTATTATCTCGAGCTCTTCCGTGCTTCAAAAGGCACGTCAAGCAGAGCGATTTTCGAAAAACTGCTTTATGAATCAAAAAGAAGTCAAATGACTTAAAAAATACAACTTCTACATTTTTTTTACCTGCCACATGATCAAATACTCTTCACAGAAGTCAAATCTGTATGTGTATAAACAAAAAGTCAGACTAAACATTAATGTTTATTCATCTCCGATATTATTTTAAAATATCAAAAATTTGTTCAAGTTTCATTTTATTAATCTCATTAATACAACACAATATCATTGTCAAAGATTATTACATCTTATTATCGGGCAAGACTTGGGGGCACAGACGTTATTCAGAAAAGCCAACTGCCCTGAAGAGCGCAGATAATAACTTGAAACACAAAAAGGGTCGTTCGCAAACCTAATCGTCGCATTGTTGAGATCTCAGAAGCCATCCCTAACAACAGCTTTTGTTTGAAAGCTTGATATATTTCAGAGCATTACGTGAAAGAGTCATTATGAAAATTCTTTGCACAAACCTTTTTTATAATCGAACATGGAATATTGGAATTTCTTCTTAATAGGGGAAAAACGCTATCGGCTTACACATACATTCAAAATTTATATTATATATAATATTTTACGTGTCCTATATTCGTATTTTGTATTTTGCTTTGTGTCTACAATAAAGAATATTCTTATGTTACTCACTGATAATAAAGATATATTGCTGAAATAATATTTAAAGTTAGCCAAGTAATGCTATTTTGTAATAAAACAGCCTCAATCGCGACGTCTAATACAGCTCTGTTTTTATATAGATTCAATGAAATAAAACCTACTATAAAAGGTAATAAAGATTTTATTTCTTTTTTTTACGGTAATGAATAAAGCTTTGTAATTTTAGTTAACAAACTTACAAGACCATTTCTTGTGATTTGTAACAAATGGAAATATATGCAGGAAAGTTTTCAAAGTCTTTTATCCCGACTTTTAATTAAGTTTAAAAGTGTCTCTTTGCTGTTACAAAAAATGTATAAGATTGAGATAAAACATTTAGACTGGATTGCACCATAATATAATAGCAGTTAAAGTTATGGTCTTTGTCAAATTTGACAATTACTGTTAAGCTGGTTTTGACATTGACAGTGGAACATTATAAAGCTGCAGATTATTATTAATAGAATAGTAGAATATATATTTACAAGAGAATCTTCTTAATTCTACAGTCCAACATACCTTTGAAAATTGGTGCAATCTTAAACACCCCCAAACCACCGATGGTAAGCATCTGTCCCATCGCCAGCTCCATGAAGAACATAGGAATACCGGCCAAGAAGAGGGTCAAGAAGTAAGGTATGAGGAAGGCACCGCCACCGTTTTTGTAACAGAGGTAAGGGAATCTCCATACGTTGCCCAAGCCGATGGCCAGGCCTATCACGGACAGAATAAAATCTAGCTTGCTGGCCCATGATCCCCGCTCTGGCAAATCGGATTTACCCGATTTGATTACCACGTCGCTGTAAAATGGATTAAAATTGAATGAATTAATATACAGTATTGCACATAGTTTTTAATAAAAACAACACAAAAATTAATAAAAAAATCAATCAATCACATCACTTAACCATAATATGACCGATTTCTGTAATGTTGCATGTTGAAGTTTCAAATATTATTGGAGAAACCCGCAATTTTGGATAATCAAATATGCAATTTTTAAGGCAGGACATCACGAGTTCAACTTTAGAACTTAAATTTCAGACTTATCTATTTATTGCATGTTTATATGTATCTGTGATATTGCGAAATTTTCTGTCATTATATCATACAAAACTGTGTGTATACCATTTGACCACCGGAGTTATTCATAATTTATCAGCGCTAATGAAGTAACTAATGCCATGTATTCGATTATCGCACAGAAAACTATGGCTTAAAAATATACGAAAAATTTAACAAATAATATTTACCTGGGTTTGTTGCTAGTTCCTTGTGCGCTGAGCTCTATGTCGTCGGATTTTGTGTCCATCTCTTTATTTTTCACTATCCTCTTCTAATCCTAAGGAACCTTTGTCGTTTCGAAGTGCCTTGACCACCGGAAGACTATTTACAAGACTAGTTAAATTGAATTAACATTTTTATTGGGGATCGCCTCCAACTTTAGATCTGGATCAGAAAAAAAAAGGAATTTGCTTCAGATAATGAAATTTCAGTAGCAAGAATGGAGGACGTGCTTTGCATATAAAAATATGATATTATTGTTCAAAAGAAAAACAACACAGTAACCTTTATAGACATTAAGGTTGACTATATAAAGGCAGGTAGGAATTCGGTGGTGAAAAGTCAAAGTAAAAAAAACCTTATTAAAGTACTTTTGAATCGTCCAACATATTTTAGCTTAATATCTATTTATAAGACCTTTTAATAAATATTATAAAAAATCCTCGTGATAAAGATATAATAATACAGATCCCAAAGAAAAATTAGAGAAGAAAAATCAAGTGGATCAACCGAATGGTTCGCTGAAACACTCTTAATGGGGACGGTCGTTCTAAAAGAACACCTAGAATTAAATGCAGGTGCAAAGTCTGTATTCGTACCACCAGAGACTCTCACTTTTAATACTGAAATCGATTTGATTTTGAAGTCGAAAATCATATCCTTTAATCACATTTAAAGCTACTGTGGGTAGTATGCTGATAATACATGCGTAAGAGAGACTGATGGATGCCGCGATTTTCCCTCTCTCTTTAATCGGTTTCACTTACAAGAGTATGTATTCTTTAGGATATTATTAAATATAAATAGAACGATTCGCTATATAGTTTTCAAATCCAACCCTCGAGACCAATGGTATAATTGGTTTAGGCAAATTTGTTCAATATTCTTTGTCGTCTAAGGAACTTTTGTTATAATGAAAACAATATTTTACTTTCCTTGTGTTGTGAAATTAAGAGTAATAGTGAATCTCCTTGCCGATCTATAAGCCAAGTAAATAGTATAATCTAATTATCCTTACTTAAGTATAGTTTACGTATTTAATATAAGTAGTAATGTAATATCCCTAAATTATCAGAAAGCTTGGCTACCCCAGGGGTAGGTTATATTCGAGGTCGTAGACTCGAGGGAGGGTGAAACTTTGTATCTCCCTGGAATATTGTGATGAGATGCGTTGTTACGAGCATAAGTTATACATCATGATTGCTATGGCAACCTACAAGTTCGTATATGAGAGTGTAATGTATCATGTAATATACTCTTATGTTTTGCATTTGCGTATAAATAACATTAACCGTCTTGTAATAAGACAAAGACTAAGTTATTATACTCGGTTTATTACCACTGGTCTCTTAAAGCAAAATGACAATGACCGAAGAGAAAATGTCAAATTGAGATGTGATGACTTATTTTAATCGGATAATGTATTAAACCGTGTACTAAAGTTTATAATAAGATGGTACAGGTCGGCGCATTCTGACGGAAGATCCTTCAAGTGTCTCATGGTTGATACGAAATATAACTTATATTTCGTATCAAATATTAGTTCATGTTCTAATGTTCCGTGACCGATAATTACACACCAAACTGACACGATTGTCAGTTACGTCGACTACGAGCGAACATTATGCAGGTGATTGCACTTTCATAATAATCACATTTCCGTTCACACCAAACTGACATTACGACAAGAACAAACAAAGCGGTATACAATATGTCAGAGGTAGGCTGCTCCACGTTTTATGTGAACATTCGCTTAGTCCTTGCCAAAGTGCGAAATTGCTCGATTTCATATTGAATAATGTGAACGTATTATTTATTTTTAAAACTATTTCGCATTAAGGAGTCATGAATTCTAGTAATAAATGTGAAAGTTAGTGAACATGGATGTATTATGTATATTTATTGCTCTTTCACGCTAAAACTACTTATATTGATAAAATTTGGTGTTTGAAAGCTTCTAAGCCTGGAATATCATAAAGACTACTTTTTATGTCACTAAATGGTTCCCAGGGATAAAATTATCAACAAGGAAACATCTAAGCCACTTGGGCGAAGCCGCTGGTTGACAACTAGTGTTGAATAATTCTATAATAATTATGGACAAGGTCTAAGAAAAAGAGAAACGAGAAGAAAACAACCGCCTAGTCAATAAGATGGAGCAGAGGATAACGTATTCTTACAAAATATTAAAATTACTGTCAAATATATCAAAACCTAACCGTCAGCTACAAAGTGTCTGACATTTTGTTTTCTACCGAGAATATTTTATAATTTACGTGTGGTGTGACAGAACCCTTAGAAATATAATTAAGTTTCTCATTTTGATCACAGCTTGTTTGGCCGTCACTTTTAGAAATAGCTAATAAGTTAGTGATGTTTGTAGCACCCAAAAACTGAATGGTACTAACACAGAAAAATATTTATATACGAAGACGCTAGTAACATACATAGAGTACAGCTACTTAAGAGAATCTTTGCAAGATGCTTAATTTAAATTTTAGTGTGGTCTATTATGCATAAAGATCTAGATTACTCGTAATACACTGCATTTTACTTATGACAGCAATGTTTGTACATTGTTCTTTTTTATTCCATTTTCCTTAATATTCCTGAGCAAGTAGATTCTTTATTTTTTATTTTGTAGTATATTGCTAACCACATAAACATTACGTTAAGATAAACAAATACCTAGTTTCCCATTTTGCTAATGGAAATACATGAAAAGCTATGTGGGGACAAAATGTGCTCATTCCATCGGGACGCTGGCAAATATTTCGGTATTTTTACGGCTCAAAGCTGCGAGGGAAATATAACGACTTATGTTTATAGCGATACCCAACTATGGAAAAAGAATAACAGTTCACTTATAAAAAGAATAAAAGTAAAGCCTTTCAATTAAATTAGAAAGGTGACGAGAAAATAGGACAAAACATGATACCATAAGAGATGTGGAGATAGACAAAGACTATTTTGACTTGACGAATTATAAAGTGCGATTTATTTTTATCCAGTATCTAACTCGCAACCTTGCCCGCGGAAATAATAGCCTATGTCAACCATGTAGGATGAAGTTGAATGAATTTTAAAAATAGATCGAGTAACTTTGGAGCCTATTCAATGCAAAAGAATAAACAAATTTCTCATCATAAAATTAGTATAAGTTACTCGCAACCCATTCCGTTTATTATGAAATTAATAGTGTCAGGCCACAGGTATACTAAAATGATACACTAATTTATAAAAATACTGAAAAAATATAAGCATATCGAAGTTACAACGTAGTTGAAGAACTGGGGATTGGCCACAAAAAAGTGTTGGAGCACTTGAAAAAGTTTGCCTTAATCTAATGAGATTAAGGCAAGAAGTTGAGAGAAAGGGGTCAGAATTGATCAATAGAAGGAGCGTGGTTTCTCATCACAATAACGCTAGACCTAACACATCTTTTGCTACTCAGCAAAAATTAAGAGAGATTGGTTGGGAGGTGTTAATACAACCGCCGTATAGTTCTGATCTTGCACCTTCAGATTTCCACCTGTTTCGGTCTATTCAGAATTCTTTAGGCAGTGTCAGGTTAACATCACGCGAGGATTTCCAAAACCACTTGTCGCGGTTTTTTGGTCAGAAGCTCCCAAATTTTTTATAGATATGGGTCCATGTCCTTCTACAAGATGGCAAAAAGTTATCGAATAAAATGGTTCCTACTTACTTTAGTTAATGAAAATAAACTTTATTAATAAATGTTTTGAATTTTCATATAAAATGCGAAGAAACTATTGAGACTGCATTGCAATTTTTACAAAACGTTGCATAACTTTATGAGTTTCTTTTTAATGATTTTCATTTTAAAGCCTCCGAAAGCACAAAGTCTTTGCTACTTTCCGAATATATCCTACACTTTTTTTCACCGAGACTATTTTTTTCTATAAAACCCGCCACTGATGCCTCATCGTCATCAGCATATCAACGTCCACTGCTCGTGCATACACCTTCTTCATGTAAAGAAACACGAGGAGAACGGGTTTTAATCCACCAACGGTTTATCCACCTTCCAAAGCAAAGCTCGAGAAATTAAATTTATCGTCCCCAATTAAATGGCTGGTCTTTGAGAAACACGTTAACCACTATACCATCAAGCTCATCAATTAGTGCTAACCTACCGACATATTCATGCGATCCTTGCGTATGTCCAGTTGGATAATTAATTATCTCCTCTGTGAGCATTATTTCATTAATCATCTCATTGTATTCCAGTCATACCCCGAAATTACTGTGGCATAAAAGCCTTTTTTTCGCTCCGTTTTACGTCAAGTGTAAGTCGTCCTCATCAAAGTACATATATACAATAAAGAAAATTCGTAATTTGTCATCCAAATTAAATAAATATTAATTATAAAGAGGAAATTTTAATTATAAATAGGCTCCAAAACTAGTAAACCGATTTTAAAAAAAAGCTTATGGAAACTTACATCATTCGCGGGTGACATAGGCTATACACGGGCAAAAATGTGTTATAGATAAAGTGTGCCATTGAATTTAATGAAACGAAACCTGTGATTAGCAATCGTTACCGTTAAAAAAGAGTTAACCTGAAACTAAGAAAAGTACTGTCAGTGTTAGTTCGAACAGTACCAACAAAGAATCGGTGAAAATAATGAAAAAATCTCCAAGTAGAAGGATATAGAAGATGCAGGAGTCCAAGACTCACTTTGTAAAACAAGATTGATCATTTACTATTAGAAAGTGCTGTCACCGAGGGATATGAAATAAAGATGAATGAACAACCAAAGAGGTAAAATGTTTAAACGTCCTTTTTGTTACCCAATTGTCTTTACCTAATCTACAATGGATCTGCCCTGAAGATACTAGTAAAGGCATTTACAACATTTCACAGGAGGATCTAAATTTTTAAACTGATAAGCAACTAAATTACTTGATCATGTTATTTGTTTATCACGAAGACTTTTCGCAATAATAATGTTTCGTACATAGATATCAGAAATTAAACAGGATCGGACCATTTTCATGTCT